TTGTGTTGTGGTTGTTGGGTGGTTTGTGGTGGTGGGGTTGGGGGGGTGGGGTTGGGGGGGGGGTGGGTTGGGGGGGGGGGTGTGGTGTGTGTGGGGGTGGTGGGGGTTGTGGGTGTGTGGTTGGGGGGTGGTTGGTGGGTGGGGGTGGGGGTGGTGGGGATGGGTGTTGGGGTGTGGGTTTGGGGGGTGGGTGGTTTGTGGGGGTTTGTGGGGTGGGGGTTGGGGTTGTGGGGGTGTGGGTGGTGTGGTGTTGGGTGTGGTTTGTTGGTTTTGGGTGTGGGGGTGGTTTGTTGTGGTGTTGTTTGTTGGGTGGTGGGTTTGTGGGGTTTTGTTGGGTTTGGGGTGGGGGTGGTGTTTTGGTGGTGTTTGGTGGTGGTGGTTGTGTGGGTTTGGGTTGGTTGGGTGGGTGGGGTTGTGTGGGTGGGGGTTGTGTGGGGGGTGTGGGTGGGTTGGGTTGGGGTGGGGGTGTGGGTGGGGTTGTTGGTGTGTTGGTTTTGGTGTTGTGGGTTGTGTGTGGGGGTTGTTTGGGGGGGTTGGTTTGGTGGGTTGTTTTGTGGTGTGTGGTGGTTGTGGGTGGTGTTGGGGTTATGTTGTGTGGTGGTGGGGGGTTGGGGGGGGGGGGTGTGGGGGGTGTGGTGGGTGGGTGGTGGGGTGGTGTTGGTGTGTGTGTGTGGTGGTTTGGGGGTTGTGGGGGGTGGGGGTTGGGGGGTTGGGGTGTGGTTGGGTTTGTGGGTGGGGGTGTTGTGGGGTGGTGGGGGTTGGTGTGGGTGGTGGGTTTGTGGGTGTGGGGGGGGGGTTTTTGTGGGGGTTGGGTGGTGTGGGGGGGTTTGTGGGGGGGGGGGGGGGTGGGTTGGGGAGTGGTTTTGGTGGGTGTGGTTGGGGGGTTGTTGGTGGGGGGTGTGGGGGGTTGTGGTGTGGTGGGGGTGGGGGGTGTTTGGTGTGGTGGGTGTGGGGTGGTTTGGGGGGGGGTTGGTTGGGTGGGGGTGGGTGGGGGGTTTGGGGTGTGGGGGGTGGTGGGGGTTTGGTGGTGGTGGGGGGTTAAGGGGGTGGGGTTGGTGTTGGATGTTTAGGTTGGGGGGGGGGAGGGGGGGTGGGGTGGGGGGTGGGGGGTTGGGGATATGGTGTTTGGTTGTGGGGTGATGTGTGGTATGGGTGTGTTTGATGGTTGTTGGTAGGGGTGGAATGGGGTTTTGGTAGTGGGGGGTGGTAGGGGGAGTGGGGTGGGGGTGGGTTTGAGGGGGGGGATATGAGTTATGGAGGGTGTGTATGGAGGGTTTTTGTATGGTGATGGAGTATTTGGTTTTGTGTGAATGGGGAGTTTGGTGGATGTATTGTTGTGTAAGGGGGGTGGGTGTGGAAGGGTTTGTGGGGGGGGTTATTGGGAGGAAGGTTGTATAGGTTTGTGGTTGGGTGGTTTGGTGTGGTATGGTGATTATGGAGTGGTAGTTGGGGGGGGGGGGTAGGTATTATGAATGGAGAGGGGGTGTGGTTGGGTTGTGAGGTGGTATTGTTGGGTTATAGTATGTTAAGGATAGGTGGTGGGGTTGGGGTTTAGAAATTTAAAATAGTGTAGTGGGAGTTTTGTGATAATGGTTTCGGGTGTATGTGGGGTTATGGGGGTGGGGTTTTGTGTTGGGGGAATGAGGAAATATTTATGGGGTGTATGTTGAGAGAGTGTTGAATGGATTAAATAGGTAGGGTTTGGAGGGGATGTTTGGTGATTGGGGGGGTGGGGTAGTGTGTAGGGTTGGTGGGTGGAGTGGGGGGAATTGGTTTTTGTGTGTAGAGGAGGGGATTGTGAGAAAGATAGGGGGGGGGAAGTTTAGAAGGTTTATGAAGGGTTGTTTGGGGGGTAGTGGAGGTTGTGTGGATGTTTAGGAGTATTTGGTGGTGGTTGTTTTTTTATATATGGAATTGGGAATTTGAAGTAATGAGATGGGGGAGGGGGAGGTGGGGGGGGGTGAGGTTGTGGGGAAGTAGTGAGTAGGGAGAAGATATATTTGAGTTTGGTATTGTGAATTGGGAGTGGTGGGTTAGGGTGGGGGTGGGTTTGTGTTTGGATGGTGAGTAGTATATGTTATATTTATTAGGTTGGGGGGGATTGAAGGGGGGAATATGATATTATGAAGAAATATGGGTAGAGGAAGAGGTTTGGAGGTAGTTTTAGTTTAGATGTAGTTTAGGTATGGGGGGTTGGGGGTGGGAGTGTTGGAGGAGGAAGGGGGGAAAGAGGGTAAGTAGGAAAGAATGAAGGAGGGTGGGGTGAGATATAATGGAAGAAAAAAAAAGGTTTTTTGGGGGGGTTTATTAAGGGGATTATATGTGGGTATTGGTGTTTGTTTGTTTTTTGTGGTTGATGTTTTTTGTTTGGTGGTTTGGGAATATATGTTTGTTATGTTTGTTTGTTTTGGTTTTGGTTTTGTATTGTTTGTTTGTTTGGTGTGTGGTTTTGTATGTTGTTGTTGGTTGTTTGGGTGTTTGGAAGTTGTTTGTTTGGTTTTTGGGTTGGTGGTTTTTTGTGTTGGTTGTTTGGGTGATTTGTATTGTTTGTTTGTTGTTGTTTGGGTTGTGTATGTTTGTTTGTGTGGATTGTTTGGTGTTTTGTTGTTTTTTTTTGGGTTGTGGTGTTTTGTTATGTGGTTTTGTGTGGGGGGGGGGGTATGGGTGGTGGGTTGTGATTGGTTTTGTGGTGGGGGTGGGGAATTTGTTGTGTGGTGTTGTGATGGATGTGGGGGGGGGGGGGGGGGGGGGGGTGTTGGGTGAGGGGGGGGGGGAAGTAATGTTAGAGGGTGTATGGGTTTGATGTTGGGGTAGGGATTGTATGGTGGGTGGTTTGGGAGTTTTGTTGTTTTTGAGGTGATAGAGGGTGTGGTGTTTTGTTTTGATGGGGGGTTGGTAGAATGGTAGTTAGGTTTGGTAATTTGGATGTTGTGTGGGGGAGGAGGGGAAAAGTTTGGGGGTTTAAGGAGTTGGGGGGGTGGAGTTGATTGATGGAGGGGATAGGGGTTTTGAGGGTGGGGTATAATTTAGGGGGGGGGGGGTGTGGAGTATATAGGATTTGTTTAGGGTTTTGTGTGATATTGGGTTAGTTGGGGGGGGGGTTTTGGGGGGGTTTGAAGGTGGAAAGTGATATTTGTATTAATATTGTGTTGTTGAGAGATTATGTTTATTATTGGGTTTTTGGGGTGTGTGGTGGGGAAGGGGGGAGAGGGGGTATTATAGGAGTGGTATTGGGGATGTTGTTTGGATTGGTGGTTGGGGGGTGATGAGTGGGGATTGGGGGGGGGTGGGGTGTTGTGATTTGGTGATGGGTGGGTTTTGTGATGGGGGTTTGGAGTTGAGGAGGTGGGTAATTAGTATTAGGGTGGTGTGGGATTGTTTATTGTTTTTGTAAGGAGGGAATTGGAGGGGGGATGGGTAGTGGTAGGAATGGTGGGGGTAGGGGGGGGGAGAGTGTGATTGGGATAAGATTAGGAAGAGGAGGAGGGGAGGGGGTGGTGTGATGGGGGGGGGTTTTGTAGGGGTGGGGGGAAGGAGTAGTGAGGTTAGTGATGGGGGTTAATGTTTGGTTGTGTGGTTTTGTTTGTGTGTTTGTGTTTGTAGGTGTGTGTTGTTTGTTGATGGGGGGGTATGGTTTTTAGTTAGTAGGGATGGGGTGTGAGTTTGTGGTTGATGGTTGATTTGTTTGTGTAGGGTTGGTGGGGGTGGTGATTTGGAGGTATGGGGGAAGGGGTGTGGGTGGGTGAATGGGTGGATGTGAGGGTTGGGGGGTGGGAGTATGGGAGATGGGTGGGGGGGTGGTGGGTATATGGGAGGATGGGTGGGTGGGTGGGTGGGAGTATGGGAGATGGGTGGGTGGGTGGGTGGGAGATGGGAGGATTGGGTGGTGGGTGGGTGGGAAGGATGGAGGATGGTGGTGAGGTGGGTGGAGTATGGGAGGATGGTGGTGGTGGGTTGGGGAGGGGGAGAGTATGGGAGGATGGGTGGGTGGGTGTGGAGGAAGGGGAGGAAGGGGGGGGGGGTGGGGTGGGTGGGGGAAGGGGAGTTGTGGAGGGAGGTTTAGTATGTGATGGGATGGGTGGGATATGATTGAATATGTTGGGATGGAGTGAGGATGGGGGGTGTTAGGAGAAGGGGGTGGTTGTGGGGTGGTTTTTTTTGAGGGTATGAGAGATTAGGGGGGAGTGGGAATTAATATGGTTTTATGTTGGAGGGGGGGGGTGGGGATGGTGTTGTTGTTGGGAGAAGTATTATTTTTGGTATGGGTTAGGTGGTTGTGAGGGATTGAGAGTTTGATTGGGTGGGTGTTTGGTTTGTGGGTGTGTGGGAGTTGTTTTGTTGGATTGGTAATTGGTAGAATGGGGGTGGGGGTTTGGGGGATGGGGGGGTGGAATAGAGAGGAGGGTGTTGGGGGTGGGGATGGTGTGGATGGTAGAGATGGGTATGAGGGGTGGATGGGATTATTAGGGGGTTATGTGATGATTGGGTGGGGGGATGGTATTGAAAGGGAGATTGTTATTTTTGTGGGTGGTTGTTATGGGAGTATGGGGAGATATTGGGTTGTGGGGAGGGGGGATAATAAGAGAGGTTGGTGGTGAGATGAGTTTGGAAGGTAGGAGGGTTGGGTTGGGGGGAATTGTATGTTGGGTGGGGATGTGTTGTTGAAGTGTGTAGGGATTGGGGGTGGTGTGGGTTTGGGTTGTTAGGGGGAGGAGGGGGTTGGGTTAGTTTTTGGGGTTGGATGGGTGGTGGTGGGGTGTGGTTTGGTTGGGTGGTGGGATGTATGGTAGTGGGGGGTGGTTGGTGTGGGTGGGGTGGGGTTGGGGGGTGGGTTTGGGGGGTATGGGGTGTATGGTGGGTGTTGGGGGGAGGTGTGGGGTTTGGTGGTGTTTGTGTGGGTGATGGGGGGGGGGTGTGATGGGTATGTTTGGGGGGGTGGGGTTGTGTGGAGGAGTGAGGGGAGGGTGTGGGGTTGGTTTGGGGTGTGATATGATTGGGGGATGGGTGGTGGTGGGGGGGGTGTGGGGGTGAGATTTGGTTTTGGGGGGGGGTATTTTGTGTTATGGGGTGTGGGTGAGTAGTTGGGGGTGGTGTGGGGGGGTTTGGGGGTGTGTGTTGTGGGGTTGGGGGTTGGTTGGTGGTGGGGGTGGGGGGGGGGGGGGATGGGTTGTGGTTGGTGGTGGGGGGGGGGGGGGGGTGGTGGTGTGAATGGGTGTTGGTGGGTGGGTTTGGGGTTGGGTTGTGGGTGTGTGGTGGGTGGGGTGATTGGTGTGGGGGTTTTTTTGGGGTGGGAGGGTTTATTGGTTGTGTGGGTGTGGGATTGGGGGAAGGATGTGGGGTTGGGTGGGGGTGGGTTTGTGGTTTGAGGGGGGGTTTTGGGTTTGGTGGGGGGTTGTATGGGGTTTTGGGGGTGGTGGTGTGGGTTTTTGGGTTGTGGGGGGGGGGGGTGGGGGGGGGGTGTGGGGGGGGAGGGGGGGGTGGGTTGGTGGGTGTGTGGTGGTATATAGAGGTTGTTTTTGGGGTGTGGTTTGTGAGGGTGGTGGGTTGGGGGGGTTTGGGTGGGTTGGGTGTTGTATGTTTGGTGGTGTTTGTTAGGGAGTTATGGGTTTTGTGGTGTTGGGGGTGGGTGGTGGTGGTGTTGGTGTTGTTTGGGGGGTGGTTGGTGTGTGTTGGGTGGGTGGTTGGTGTGGGTGTGGTGGTGTGGTTGTGGGGGTTGTGTGGGGGTTTGTTTGTTTGTTGGTGTGTTGGTTTTTTGGGTGGTGGTTTTTTGGTTGGGGTTGGTTGGTTTTTTGGTTGGTGTGGTTTTGGGTTTTGTGTTGTGGTGGTTTTTTTTGTTGGTTTTGGGTGTGGGGGGTTGGTGGGTGTGTTGGGTGTGGGGTTGTTGAGTGTGGGGGTTGTTGGGGGGGGGGTGGTTGTGTGGGGGTGTTGTTTGTTGGGTTTTTGTTGTTGTGGTGGGGTGGTTGTGGTGTTGTTGGGTGTGTGTTGTTGTTGTGTTTTGGTTGTTTTGTGTTTTTGTTGTGTTTGTTGTGTGGTTTGGTGGGGGAGTGTTTTTAGTTTTGTGTTGGGGGTGTGTTGTGTGTTTTGGTGGGGGTTTGTTGTGTTGTGTTGGTGTTGGATGTGTGTGGTTTGGTTTTGTGGGTGGGGGGGGTTGGTGGGTTTGTTTGTGTGGTTGGTGTGTTGGGGGTTTTGTTGGGTTTTTTGTGTGGGTGTGTTATTTTGAGGTGGTTTGGAGGGGTTGTTGCTTTACACGCCATTTATTCCCCACATGCCGTTTTAAACGCCACTTGTTGTCCACATGCCGCTTTACACGCCACTTGTTGTCCACATGCCGTTTTAAACGCCACTTGTTGTCCACATGCCGTTTTAAACGCCATTTGTTGTGTACATGCCACTGATCAGCTGTGGCAGGTGCCGGTGCCACAAAAGGAGCCTGCCCTTTCTCCCATATTCTTAAACATACATTTTAATCTCTCTGTGGTATTATACTTTCATTATCAGTGGCTTTGTGCCAGTGGGATTTTGTTCTATCTCTCTTTTACATTCTCAGGAATAAAACTGTGAACACAGTAAGGCAAATGGTCAACATTTACACTTCTATAGTGGTCAGTGATTTATTACTTTTTATTATCTAAAGATATTATTGTCAGGCAGTTTGGGATGAATGAACATCATTAATCAAATTAGTATTATCCTTACAAGAGCTAATCTATTTGAGCAGGTTTGGGGTTGGGGTCAGTTATTCTACAATGGTGTTTGATTCTCTAATCTGTGCTGATAAATCAACAACTTTTAACTTCTCAAAGATGCTTTTGAATCTCTGTTGGTTCTAATCTATCTCATTGATCTAGGCATTAATCTAGACTACACTCATATGAACTTTTTGCATTGTCAACATTCACTCATGTGTGAACACAAGTGAATTTGGCAGTATCTAATAAAACTGTACATAAACTGTAATGAACTTTATCTACTTCTGAAGTAAATGTTTGTGAAATGGTCCCTTTACCATTTGATATTAACACTGGCTACAAATAATTTCTGTTTTTGAAAGAATCTATGGTTGATGCTTTTATCTATTCCTATTTTAACTCCAAAGCTCGGCTGCAGCTTGAGCCAAGGCATATTCCTAATTTGTGACTTCTGTCACTTTTAATGGCTGTAACATTATTCTGATTCTAATATTCTAGCTGCTCTATCAGAAGGATAACATTGTAGGGTACTATTTTAACTCTTATGTGGAAATGTGTTTATGAACAACAAAGAAAGTCAATTCTACTCTTTTACTACTATTTAACATCTACTAAAACGCTACAATACTCATACTTTATCACTTTAACACATTTTAACAGTTGCTCAGTCTCCCAGACTAAAAAGTCAAAGCTTTTGTCTGTCAGATGTCTGAATACTTAACATGTATATTGCATTTGGTCACAAGTTCTGGTTGTAGCAATAGCATCGGCAATAGACGATTTTCATTGGCTGGTTCTTGTTCTGCAAATGTCTGTGTCCAATAGATCATCAGATGTCCAGAAGCTAGGGACAAACAAAAACAAAAGAAAGAATCATGAGTATCTCTCTCATTTAGCACTGATCAATGTATGATTTTAAAAATATAAACATCACTCCCCAGTTTTTTCTCTCAGGTCCTCAGGTCCTCAAGGTCCCCTGAGGGTGAGTCTCAGTCGTCATCAGGTCAGGTCATAGAGAGATGTCATCTTGGACATCAGTAGGGTCCAAGCCATGGTTTTGGTCTCTCCAGATGCACATCAGGATCTCCAGATACAGTCTTTTCACTTGAAGCGCACATCAGGTCATTTGCGATGCACTTCTGGTCAATGGTGCAGTGTCTCAGTTCCTGTACACAGCTTGTTATGCAGTAGTTACTTTCTATGGTTAAGTCACTTTGATTCTACTTTAACACAATTTCTATTCATGCTGTTGCTAATGTCTCTCAGACAAAAAGCAAGCGCAAGGATTCAGTTTACTTCTCTAATTTGTGTTTTTTATCAGATCTAATTCTAATCAATGTAATTACTTCACACAGTACACAATCAACAAATCAAAAGTGTCAGGACAGAGGTCAATTAGTCCATGACAATATAGAATTCAAATGAACATTTCTGGTCTCAAAAAATACTGATTCAAATGATAGACAATAAAAAATATGTGTTTACATTGGAGTAAACTTTTAAAATGCTTTTTGCTCATGTTCTACTTTTTTATGTATCTATATGTAAATGTGAATGTGTGAGTGTATGTATGTGTGTGGGTGTGTGTGTGTGTGTGTATGTAGAGTGTGAATTTTGGGGTTGTGTCTCCAGACTCCTCGAACCACCTGCAGGTCTCAAAGGTCACACTGGCTCGATTTAACTACGTGGACACACTTTCAACTGCCTCTAGGTCTCTACCTGAGGCCTCCACCCATCACTGCCTCCAGAAACCTCCACTTTCATGGCCCCGGTCTCACTCCCACTTACTTCTGTAGTGGGGGGAGGGGCGTAGGGGTGGCATTGTTGCCCTTTGCTGTTAGCTCTGTGGCCTGTGGCTGGGTGGGTGTTGCGCTGTCCAGTGTCCAGCAGTGACCTCTCGTACAGTGTGGCAGAGTCTGAAAAACAATCCTTGAGACGGCCAATTTAAAAAAACAATAGATATCGGTATGCGAATGAGATTGTTTTTCTCCCTAAAGTCTAAACCATTTTGGAGCGCTCTGGGTTTTTCAACATGCGCTATAAAGATTACTTATTATCTTACTAATGATGACATTTTAAGACCAGAAACTCTCCTAATAAAAAACAAGACTCAAATCTCAAAAAACCTTTTTAAACTTTAAAATATGTGTACTTTTGTACTGTGTTTAATTATCTTGAACATTTATCTCAGCATCTATTCTACTAATTTAAAATAATTGCAGCATTTTTCAAATGAAGTCAATATGAATTGGAGCACATTTCAGATCAGTCTCCTGTGCTGCGTGCATCTGCAGCAGCAAGGTCAGGTGCATAGTCAAAACAAAAACAAAAGTCACCACTTGAATGTGAATTGGGTGAATTGGGTACAGTTCAACTTAATACTTTTACAGCCTAATTCCCTCTTACTTTTTAGACGAAGTCTATAATCAATAAGCACTTTTAACACAGATTCTAATTTAAATGTTTGAAAAATGGCTTTTGTAACTAAAATAAAAACATAAAAAAATTCTCACAAACAGCTATGAAATATATCAGAGATACAATAATGGACTCACAAAATAAGCAGCATATTTAAAAAGAAAAGCAAAGCTTTTTGTACTAATCTTTGGGTTTCAAAAACATACTAATTCAAAACTTCTATTCACTAAATGGTGTTTAAAAATGTTTAACTGTGTCATAACACAATGTTCAAATGGCAAATTTCGCAAATTTAACGGAATAACAACTATGAAAAGCCAGAAATCCTAAAGCAGTAGCTTTGTTCTGATTCAGAGCCAGAGCAGCAAAGGAGGGGGCCGTTTCCATGACAACGGCAGCAAGATAGAGATGTGCACGCACAGACAGAAAGTAGTGTTTTAGCAAAAATGCAAAAACAGAAAGAAGAAGAACTTTCAAGATTACTTTGTTAAGCAAATATAACTGATGTTCTTTATACTTTTGTCATCCAAGTCTAGAAATGGCCACTTTCCACACTAGTAACAAAAGGCACTCTTTAGTGTTTAACGTTTCCCTTTTTATTATAACTTTTAATTTTTACACCATGGTTTCACTAAGGATCCTGCTCCAAGGGACTCAAACCCTGAGACTGTGTGTCTCCAAGGGACATAAACCCTGAGACTGCTCCAAGGGACTTAAACCCTGAGACTGCTTCTTTCAATACAATTTAGAGAGTTTGACAGACCCCAAAAACAGACCAAAATTTAGCTAATATCCAATTATGCAGACTTTACATATTAAAAGGTGTCTGCTTACCTTATTCTTGTCAAACAGGTTCCAAGGACTGTCCGAGAGGTCTGCCAACCTCTTTTCCGCGTCGGATAATTCAATTTAAAAAACAAAAGTGACAGAAGCGACAAGAAGCATCCAGGAACAGCTCTTCCAGCCTGCTGGAATCCCCGCTCCCAGACACAGCATGCCGATCTCTCACGCCGAGGAAAAGAAACAAAATAAATTCCCTCAAAACAATCCAGAGAATGGCGCACACTGAGCCGCGCATTCTCCACCAAATCTGTCAGGATTTAGCAGACAGAGACGGATCGTGGTGCGCCAAACTCTGGAAGTTTATTTAAGTTTCTCTCAAGTTCCACCGGTTTACTTTGTTTCTTTCTCTCAGACAGAATAAAGGCAGTACACAGTTTATATAGTCATTGTCACGTCACACATCGAAAGACATACGTGTCACAAAGAGACAGTCACATCATAGTCATAACATGGAGTCCTTGTAGAGTCCTTGTAGAGTCCTGCACGTAGGCCATATTGCTATCTAATACTAACATTTCTTTGAGAGTAAATTGGAGTGTACCAAACCACACACTTTTGATTTGCTACTTTCACACTACAGATTCAAACTCCTAACTAAATCTGAATATTACTCAAAAGTTGTCTCATATTTCAGGTCAAAAACATTTCTGCACTTTCTCTTCTGACCTGGTACAGTATCTCCTCCCACTCTCTAAACACCAGTGTCAAAGACCCTGGTGTTTAGTCAAAGACCAATTTCATGTAATGCTTAAAGCAACTCTGGCCGCTCCTTTGACTTCAAGAGACAAAAATAAAACAATAATACAGCAATACTGCATTCAAGACATAAAGCATGAAAGTAGCACATTTCACAAACAAACACCTTATCAAGCGCTTTGCAATGGAAAATAAAGACATTTAGTGTAAATGTATATGTGTCATAGCCATCTATAGGGGATCGGGTTTGTTGGGCTACAGTATACGCGGAAATTAGTGATAGAACCTAACTGTTATTGTTACCAAATGGGTTACAGTATGTACATAGAGTTAAAACTTGATTGAAAGTTCAGCACTCCAGCGTTAACAATTTTTTAGGCATGCCTTCCTTGTCATAGTTTAGGTTTACTTCCCGTTTTATTTTGTAACTTGTTACCCCTGTGTCTTCCTTGGTTCTACTTCCTGTTTTGTGATACCTGCCCTGATGAGTTTCACCTGTGTAACGTAAAACTGTGTTCGGACCGGATCATCCATTTTTAAATCCATTACTTTTGCAGTTCTGCATTTTGGGTTC